GGACTTCAACTCCCAGAATTCCTGAGCCAGCGTGGGGGAACTATGGCCCCTTCATGACTCGTGGACTTCAACTCCCAGAATTCCTGAGCCAGCGTGGGGGAACTACGGCCCCCTCATGACTGGTGGACTTCAACTCCCAGAATTCCTGAGCCAGCATGGGGAACTATGGCTCCCTTCATGACTCGTGGACTTCAACTCCCAGAATTCCTGAGCCAGCATGGCTCAGCTTGGAAACCTCTCCCTTTCCCCTCAGCGTGGCTGGCTCAGGAATTCTGGGAGTTGAAGTACACAAGTCATAAAAGAGCCAAGGTTGCCTACCCCTGGGCTAGTGGTTTAAGGCAGCGGGCTTGAAACTGGGAGACCCTGAGTTCAAATGGTCCCTCCTTAGGTATGAAAGCCGGCTGGGGGACTTTGGGCCAATCGCCAGGAGGCGGTGAGTTCTAGTCTCGCCTTAGATGAAAAAGCCAGCTGGGTGACCTTGGACCGGTCCCTCTCTCTCTCTCTCTCCGCCTAAGCCGCCTCACAGGACTGTTGTGGGGGAAATAGGAGGAGGCAGAAGGATTAGGAATGCCTGCCACCTTATTTGCAAAAATAATCAAGGTGGAATATAAATAAGAATAAAAATAAAATAAAATCAGAAAATGAAATAATAAAATAAAATAAATAAAAAATAAAATAAAAATAAATAAATAAAATAATAAAATAAATAAAAAATAAAATAAAGTAATAAAGTAATAAAATAAATATTAAAATAATATAAATAAAAATATAAAAAATATAAAAATAAAAAATAAAGTAAAATAGGATAGAATAATAAAATAAAATAAAAAGGAATAATAAAATAAAAAATATAAAATAAAATAAAATAATAAAATATAAAATAAAAAAGTAACAAGCAAAATAAATTAAATAATAAAATAAAAAATTAAATAATAAAATAAAATAGAATAGAATAATAAAATAAAATAAAATAGAATAAAATAAAAATAAAATAAAATAAAATAATAAAATAAAATAATAAAATAAAATAATAAAATAAAATAAAATAAAATATAAAATAAAACAAAAAGTAACAAACAAAATAAAATAAATAATAAAATAAAATAATAAAATAAAATAAAAAATAAATAAAATAACAATAAATAAAATAATAAAATAAAATAATAATAGATAAAATAATAAAATAAAATAATAAAGTAATAAATAAAATAAATATTAGAACAATATAAATAAATATATAAAATAATAAAATAAAATAAAAAATTAAAGAATAAAATAAAATAGAATAATAAAATAAAAAATAAAATAAAATAAAATAAAATAAAAAAATAAAATAAAATAATAAAATAAAGTAAAATAAAATAAAATAAATAAAATAAAATAAAATAAAATAAAATAAAATAAAATAAAATAAAATAAAATAATAAAATAAAATAAAATAAAATAAATAAAATAAAATAAAATAAAATAATAAAATAAAATAAAATAAAATAAAATAAAATAAAATAAAATAAAATAATAAAATAAAAATAATTAATTTTTTTTTAGCCCAAGGTCCCAGCTCGGCCTTCCAAGCTGAATCCCCCCCCAGTCCCAGCCCCGCACAGGGGGTCTTCTGAAGCCCACCGAGGGGGGTCCAGGGGAGGAGATCAAGAATTGCCCCCCCATGGAAGGCGGAGAAGGGAAAGGGGAACCTGGTCCTTCCCCCCGCCCCTCCCTCCCACCCCCAGCATCCCGCAAGAGGCAGAGAAGGCGGGGGGGGGGGCGCCGTGGCGCACAGTTCCGTCGGCTCCGCCTGCCTGGCTCTTCTCTTACCGGCTTCTCCTACCCTCTGGAGCTGCTCGGGCGATTCACTCCGATCCGGTCTAGAGGGAGCCCAAACCGCTTCTTGGGCAGCTGCACCGCTTTTCTGCAAGGAAGAGAGGCGTCAAGGAAGAGGACTCCGGGGGGAGGGGAGAGAGCTTCTTTCAGGCCTGGGGGGGACCCCCGCCGCACCCACCCCCTTCTTGCCAGCCAACAGAAGGGGACCTTGGGAGCTGAGGGTTGAACGGTGGGGTCCCTGGGGCTCTCTCGGTTGGGTGGGTTTCTCGCAGACGTTTCAGGACCCAACTAGGGAACCTTATCAGTGCTAGAAGGGAGGAGGAGGAGGAGGAGGAGGATTGTGGGGTCCTTGGTTCCCTCTGAGCCAGGTGGTTTCCTTGCAGACGTTTCATGACCCAACTAGGGAACATCATCAGTGCTAGAAGGGAGGGGGGGTTGCAAAGAGGAGGAGGAGATTAACCCCATTCCTAGCACTGATGGTGTTCCCTAGCTGGGTCATGAAACGTCTGTAAGAAAGCCACCAGGCTCAGAGAGAACCAAGGACCCCACAATCCTTTCTTTCTTTCTTTCTTTCTTTCTTTCTTTCTTTCTCTTTCTCTTTCTCTTTCTCTTTTTCTTTCTTTCTCTTTCTCTTTCTCTGTCTCTTTCTTTCTTTCTTTCTTTCTTTCTCTTCTTCTTCTTCTCCTCCTCCTCCTCTTCTCCTCCTCCTCCTCCTCTCCGCAAGCCCCCCTTCCCTTCCTCCCTTCTAGCACTGATGATATTACTTAGTTGGGTCATGAAAAGTCTGCAAGAAAACAGTCAAGCTCAGAGAGCACCAGGGACCCCACAGTTCTCCTCCTCCTCCTCTTCCTCCTCTTCCTCCCTACAAACCCCACTCGTGTACAACCCCCCCTATTTTCATCCCCCCCACCCAACACACCTCTAATGTCACCACATCTATCCACCCATCAGCGTGTTCAACAAACAAAGAAACATCATAGATCTTTATTATTCTTATTATT